TGATAGCGCATTGTATATTAGGTTTGTGTTATATATATATAATAAATTGTACAATATGGTGCTTTTAAAACATATATTAATGTCGGATAAACGCTCACGAACACCCCGCGCCGCTTGACAAGAAACATTTTTTTTTCACGTCGATGCCAGAACTTTTTCTCACATAGTTGCGCCACGGACTTCCTTCTCCGACATTGTGACGTAACCACTCGGAGCGCTACGGCTTTCTCGTCTAGGAGCTGTTGCTTTATCCCACATTTGATCAGCTAACACTTCAGAATGGCCACCCTCGCCTGAAAAACACTATGCTTGTTCATCTAGCTGGGCAATGGGGGGGCGGGGGGGGGGGGGGGGGGGGGTGGAGAAGGTTGGATCCTCATATAAATTTTGAAGGTTGCAAAGCTTGCCGCCGTTTTGACTACAAATTAAAATGAAATTTTCGTGGCCGGTCCCAATGGACCACACAATTAGGGGTCTAACTGAACAATCAGCAATGCTCGAGGCTTACAAAGAATAAATGGGCTAATGCTGGACACGTGCAGTTGCAAATGAATACATTATCTGGATTTCGGCGTCTCGTGCACCTCGGGCATGCACGCGCAGCCAAAGCGCAGCGGAAGGCACGTTGCGCGTGCTGTGGAGGTCAGGCATCTGAAAGACATGCCCCACCTCCATTCTTTTTATGCTGTCTGTGAATGTAGCTATATAATAAAGAAACTATGATTTATTACTCTCTAACTGTGCACCCACTTCGTGTGGGGTACATTTTGGTTACTTATTTGACAAGAAAGGAAAAAAACACTTTTAGGGCGTTTTCAGATAAGATCGAACAACCATGTCCGGTGACCCTTTTTAATTTTGATGAAAAAATATATTTTGCTGGCTTCGTGTTATGAAGAAGAAAAACAATCCTTGTTTTGGGAAAAAAAAATTGTGTCTTTGTGAAAAAAAAAAAATTGTAAGCACCCTCTCACTCACGTGCACATTTTGCGTATCGTGCGATGTTGGCATTTCGCTTGGCTTTCCGAAAAAAACTGTTCTGGCTACGGGTCTAGAAATATTTACTGTCAAATTGGGCATAGGAAGGATTGACAAAAAATATTAGCCACTGAGTAATATGGTCGTTATTTTCAGAAACAAAATCGCAAATACGGTACATTGAGCAATAACGCTCTGGATTAAAGATTTGTTTTTTCCGTATCTAAAAAAGCTAAGGTCTTCAAACTTTGCCAGTGTGTTGCCCTGTATATAGTTCATCTGTGCATAAAAGATTGTTGTCCTGGTTAGTGGGAGAAATTTACAAGAATTGCTCACATGGGGGCATTTAACTAAAAATGCATTATTTTGAAAATCATTTTAAAAAAAAGGCTATCTTTAATTTTCATTGAACTTTCCAAAATTAACATATATGATATATACTAACTGAATCTGCCAAAATATAATGCAATATTTGTTTGGCTTTGGAGTTATAAAGCGAGAAATATGGCCAAATTGATGCTAATGCGGTTGCTATAAATGGGGCGTTCACATACCCATTCTTCACAATTTCATTATTATTAAAAAGCTTAAAAATGCTATGTGGTGGTCAGGAAAACAAAAATTGACAGACAGAGGTCGACAGTAGCTTTGAAGGTGAAATTCTTAATACATTTCGTGCAACCCACCCAAAAATGCCCTGGGCCGGAGCGATTGAGAGGTGCCACCCTATAACATGCTTCACGGTGCCTGTTTCAACAGCCGGCGTGTAGCGTCCCCTTCTACGTGAAGTAAAGGAAGCAAACGGAGCGACTTTGCAAAAAGATCAGGCTATAACCTTTGCGGTAGCGTCATATAGGTGGTAAGACGCGGCAGAAGCCGAACCTGCGCCGCCTGTGAGCAACAATAAATCCGCCACCTTAAAAAGCCGCACAACGTCAAAAAAAAAAAAATAATACTGCAAAAAAAAGTTTTTAATTGACTGAGATTTTTGTATTGGGCGTTTTCAGATAGGATCAAAAGAACATATCCGGTCGACATTTTTTTAAATTTTTACCAAAAGATATATTTTTCTTGTGCAACCGCAAAAACATATTCAAACATTTTTTGCGGATAATAAAATTTCTCTTGAACGAAAATCACAAATTCGCTATTGGTATATGCACACTTTTTTGGACTTAAGTGAAACTGCCCTTGGGATATTTATAAAAGAAAAACTGTTGTCGACTTAGGTTTTATATTTTTTGTGCAGATACTGTACATAAAATAAAAGGAGGTAAACATGTATTATTGATTACTAAGCAACTCGGAGCTTTATGAATCCGAATCTTAAAAGGCCGGAAATTAAAGTTTTTAACATGATTTGGATGTGTTTGTTTAATATTAGGATAAATTGTCATCGAAATGGAAAACGATAATCTTTCTAAAAAAATACACTGAAATGTTATGTAGACAGGTTACCGATTTTGCAGTAATGGAAAAATCTGTTTAAAATGAAGACTATATTAAGTTTTCTTCTACTTCTCGCAGATCAGGGCTCATAATATGTCCTATTAGGCCCTTAAAAAATGCTTTACAATATTTTTGTATTTTTGAGTTTACAGAGCGCTAAATATACAGAACTGCCGTAACGGGAGTAGGGAAAGATAGGGCATTGCTGATTTCAAACAAGGGCAAGAAAGGGGTCAAAAATATAGAAAGTCTGTGAAGAGAAAACACTGTCACAGGAGTTTGTGGAAAATAAGAGTTCATACAAAAGATTACAGGTGAGTTTGAAGCACAAGTCAACAATTTAAATACAGATTTCTGGTATCAGTGAATTTCGGAGCCTACCCTTCGTAGGGAGGCTGGGCTGCTGACGACCAGGTTTAAGTAGTGATAGGAAAAAACACATGTTTAATAAAGTGGGACAATTGAAACGAGTTTAATGAATCAAGATCCTGTGCGCACATTCGGCGCTTGTAGCATGCATCCTTTCTGCCGGAATGTGACCCGAGTCGGTTACGGCGCTCTCCTGGCACTCCGAGGAGGAACATTGTTTTCCCAGTTTGCCCGTAGCAATCACTGTTCGTTTCTTCTCAGTGGCACCGCAAGCTTGCGACATCGATCTGCTTTTCGCAGCCATAGGAGACTTTACTTTCAAGGATATGTTTTCTGCGTCTACTGTTCTTGCTAAAACAGCTGTGATCGCGAAGTGTCGGACCGCGTACACTGCCACAAGTGACAGGACTGGACTCCACGCACAACAGAAACAGACCCCCACTTTTTTGCTTTCATGTCCCTGAACGCCTTGACAACAGATTTTGGGAGGTGGATTAGTTTCACGTTCAGCAGTTTAGTGTTCAGTGGGGCAACCATCTCTGGCGCCAACTTGATCACCGACGTGGTGGGCTGTCGAAGGTTGTACAACGTTGCCTGGTGCTTGACACGGCCCCCGATTCCATCGCAGGCACTTTTGCCATGTCCAGTTGCGAAAAAAATCCACTTCGCTGATGTGTACTTGTTGCTCTGCAGGTCATGTTCTTAAAGTGGCTTGCTGCACTATCACTGATGCAGGTCACATAAGCATACCGAAATTCGATTTCATGATTCTCCAAACCGTTGTCATATAAATTATGTTACAAACAATCTCATTCAATCGCAATTTTTTTTTTTTTTTTGCGTTGTGCAGTTTCTTTTGGCCGTAGATCTATTGGCGCTCACAGGCGGCGCAGGTTCAGGTTCTTCCGCACCCTACTTCCTATGTCATGTTACCACCAAGGTTGTAGGCTGATCTGTTTGCAAAGTCCCTTCGGTTGCTTTCCTTACGTAGCGCAGACGGAGACGCTACACGCCGGCCATTAAAAGAGGCACCGCGAAGCATGTTACAGAGAGGCGCCATTCGATCCCTCCGTGTTATAGGCATTTTTGGGTCGGCTGTACAAAAATGTATTAGGAATTTTCCCTTCAAACCTACCGTCCACCTCTGTGCTGTCAGTTCGTATTTTACTGACCACCACGTAGCATTTTCACGCATTTTAATAATAATACAATTGTGAATAATGTGTATGTGCACACCCCATTTATGGCAACCGTGTTAGCATCAATTTGGCCATATTTCTCGCTTTTTAATTTCAAAGTCACAAATATTGCGTTATGTTTTTGTAGATTCTGTTAGTACATATTATAAATGGTAATTTCGGAGAGTTTAAAGAAAATTAAAGATGGCCTCTTTTTTATAAAATGATTTTCAAAATAATGCATTTTTAGTTAATGTTTCTGTGTGAGCAATTCTTGTAAATTTGTCCCGCTAACCAGGGTAACGATATTTCATGCACAGATGAACTATATACAGGGCAACGCACTGGCGAAGTTTGAAGACCTTAGCTCTTTTAAATACGGGGAAAACAAATCTTTAATCCAGAGTGTTATGGCTCAATGTGCCATATTTGCAATTTTCTTTCTCAAAATAACGACCCTAATACTTGGTGGTTAATACTTTTTTTGTCAATCTTTCCTATGCCTAATTTGTCAGTAAATATTTCTAGACTTGTAGCCAGAACAGGTTTTTTTGGGAAGCCGCCCGAAGTGGTAATATTGCACGATACACAAAATGCGCAACGTGACTGAGAGGGTGCTTACAATTTTTTTCTCGCAAAGACATCTTTTTTTTTTGTTAGGCAATGATTTTTTTTTATTCTTGTTGGCATGGAGCCAGCAAAATTTTTTTTTTTTTTTTTCATCAAAATTGAAAATGGTCACTGGACATGGTTGTTCAGTCTTATCTGAAAACTCTTTTTATTCGTTTAAAGGCAGACAGTTGGAATCATTGATCTTGCTGGACATACCCTATTCGCTCTGGGAAGATATTTTTACTGTGGTCAGGGTTAGCTGACTGTTTCAGTGTTTGTGGGGCATCAATGGAAGGGAAGAGAACGAGCACCTAGTATGTCATGCGAGATAATTGAGCCTGGAAGCTCGAGGCCTTTCACCCATAGCTGGTTTTTGAGGTTGGTCAGCTCTAACGGAGGTTATTGCTTTCATAGAAAATGTCCCGGGAATCCACTTGGAAAGAAGGCAGACGCCGAAGTCGCCCAAACATACACGTGGATCCAGAGTCACTTGGAAGAGGATTCCGAGGTGTCCCTGCCAAAGCAAGAAGTCTACGAGGAATACAGGTGAGGTTTCTAGTGTGACATCCTTTCATTCAGTCTTGTGGTGTGCGTGCCTATCTTCTCGCTGGGAGTTTGCGAACGACAGCCTGTGGGCACCTTGCTGTTTTGACGAGATGAAGTAAGTGAGTTGTGGACGTGTTTTACTCTTTCGCAGGGGCTTTTTCGAGAAGAATAAGATAGAACCACTATGTGCTGCCGACTTTGGCAAGGTGATGAAGCATGTGTTCCCCTCAGTGAGGCCACGCAGGCTCGGTACACGAGGGAACTCGAGGCAAGTGTTTAACACTCGGCTATTCTTTTTTTTTTTTTTTGTGGAAAGATTGGTTATTTTAGTGTCCCCCCAAATTTTGTTCTTCTTGCAGGTACTGCTACAGTGGGCTGCGAAAGAAATGTGAAATGAAGACACCCAAACTTCCCGATCTGCTATTGGCCAGTGATGACATAATGAGCAAAGTGAGCTACACATTTTTTTGCCCTTTTTTTTTAATGTTTTTTAAGTTTTGTTTTACTAATGTAAATCTTGAAACCTCCAATGTGAGACCAAATAAATTCATTTTTTATAATGGTGCATTGCCATCCAAATGTAATATTCAGGAACTCGTATTTCTAAAGGACAAAAGCGCCTCGACACAAGACCGGAAGGCTGACGGCAAGACTCGATCATTGGAGTTATCGTTGCAATTGTTTACCTAATTTGTCTCGTTTTATTGTCTCTTTGCTGCGAAGATCTAGATTAGGGGTTCTCAAACTGGGTTCTGGGGAACACAGGGGTTCCATGAGGTGGTCTCATGGGTTCCGCGAACACCCAAAATTGCAACCCCCCCCCCATGCCACAGGCTGTGCGGCAGGACCATGCAAAGCACCTTCATCTCACTTTGTACTGACATTGTGATTGATATGGTGGGGATATATGCGAAGCAACACAAGCGAAATTGCCTACAATTTTGCACCTGTTGCTTCTCGGTCGGCAAATATGGAGGGGGGGGGGGGGGTTTCGCGGCAGTTTTTGAGGCTTCCTGGGGTTTTGTGAGGCCAAAAAGATTGAGAACCTCTGAGTCCTAGATTATTATTGATGCGAAACGATTGGCAGCACCATCTTCGTTGACACTTCACAACGCCGGTTTAATTTGCTGGTCATGAATGCTCCAAAATCTCTCGCTAGGAAGTGAAAAATGCACCAGGATGCCTTTTGTCGCGTCCGACTTCTACCGTCTTCCCACTGTTTCGAATTCACTGGTTAACATTGAGCAAAAGTGGCGGGAGTTCTAACCCGGCTACTCGGACTAGGATCTGAAGCGTTTCCAAGGCTGCCCGACGGATGGTGCCAGTGTGCCGGCACGTTGTCTTGTCAAGCTGCCGTAACACGCTCGGCGACATCAGGACACAAATGTGCAAACCGGCCTTTAGCCGAAGGAGCCATTCACGAAGGGGATCCTAAGGGGGCGCGTCTGCAGGAGCACCCGAGGGACGGGACGGAGGAGGAAGACGCGAGCCAGGCGGCCTGGCACCTAATCCGGGAGTGGGCCGAGAAGCTGCTGTCGCGCAAGTTCGGCTCGGTCCAGGAGCTGGCTAGGCACCTGGTGGACAGCATGTTCGTGGACGGACGCTCGGTGGCTGCCTTTACCCTCCTCTCTACGACCAAGGGCTCCAGCGACGGAGGTGCGTGCCCGTCGGCGGGGGAGGAGGGCGGGGAACGCGGCAGGGGTGGCAACAATGCCTTTAGATTGCAAGTTCTCGAACTGGGTTCCCTGGAGTACCCTCCAGGGTTTCCCGAGCTCCCGAATTTTCTCAACTGTCCCTGTCCCTGAGGCCTCTCAGTTCGAAAAGTACTTCGGCAGATCTGAGCCGCTCGCCGATGCATACCTATACAGTAGACACTCGTTAATTCGAACTACAGGAAGTCACAGGTTTTAGTTTGAATTATCAGAAATTCATCTAAACATGATACTAGACGACATTATGATTTGTTACAAGGATAGCTACTCATACAAAGCAGATTTTTGCCAGTTTCCTTTACATAGGCCTAACTATAAGCAAGTACAGGCATAACACATTGGTGAAAGAGCTGTGGCGTTAAGTTTATTCATCCGGCAAAAAAGTTGTTGACTGTGGACTGTTTAAACAGCACATCCGATCTCAAAACAAAGTTTTCAATACCAGCCAACGCAAGTGGCTCTTTACGGGACCCTTCCTTTGCAGACAGAAATTTCTGGAGTTGAGCGATGTGCTCAAAGCTGTGGCTGTGACAGTTGGTAGAGAGTCATCCCTTTCTTCATCGTCATCTTCACTCTCACTGCTGCACTGTGCTGGCATTACTTCCTGTGCTATGTCCTCTAATGAGTCATCACGACAAACACGCGCATCGTCAAGACTAGCATATTCCGCCAGCTCGGCGTTCACATTATGTGCTTCAAGGCCAGAAAGCATGATGCCATTGAGCTAGTCCTTATCCTCGATGTCGTCTTGGTCATCATTGCTGGTCTTGAAGCACATAATGTGAACGCTGTTTTCCGCTGATGTGTGCCCGCTTGAGCCCCATTGAGTGTGCATCTTTCCGAGCACCAATGCACTGCAGAGAAGCAACACTCGCAAAAGCAAGCTCCGCAGGTATTGCTTCTCTGCGGTGCACCGGTGCTCGGAAGAGGCGCACTCGACGGGGCAGCGAGAACAAAAGAGTATGAATTAAGCGAAAACGCCGTTCGAATTAGGCGACTTATAAATACATTAAAAACATAGTGGGGCGACCAAAATTTTCAAATCTGTTTGAATTAACCGGAAGTATGAAATATCCAAGTTTGAATTATCGCGAGCTTATTGTACTCTCCTGTGTGGGCATTTTCCTTTAAAAGGCCTGTAGGTTCCCATACTGCTTTACCGCGTCGTTGCCGAGAATGGGAGGGGTTTTTCGGCTGCTGTCTGGAACAGGTGGGAGTTCCCCGAGATTGAAAAGTTTGAGGACCCCAGTGTAGTGCCAAATTTTCTATGTTGCCTGCTGGAGGCCAGCAAGGGGCACAGATTGGATAAAGTGCGTCTACCTTTCGGGGGGGGTTTGTACGTGATCGCCGAGAGAGTGGGCCCCAGCCGAACACTGATGCAGCACTGGTGTTCGATCAGTGTCCCACTCTGGCGTAAAATATGGGACATAGAAAACACATCATACGGGCCTCCCTGTCTAGGAGTTGTTGGTGGCAGGCTGTCTTGGCCAGCACGGGCTCACTGTCTCGATGGAAACTGGCATAACAGGGTCCAGGAGTACGAACGAATAAGGGTTTTGCAACTCGCATTACAACAATAGTGGTGCAGCTCTTGTCAGTGTTCAGCTGTGGCTCACGGCTGAGAGTCTTTGTGCGGGATGTCTGCCGGGTTGAATACAGTGGCCTCCCGACGGCTGTTTTAGAGCGAGCACTTTTTTCTAGAAAGAGATCCAACCTTCTGAGGAAGAGGTTTCAAAGAACTATTTATTGCAGTCTTCACATCTCTTTAACCGAATCGTGCTTTGCATCTTCACTAGAAACGAGTTCCGGGGTTTGAGCGTGATTGTGTTCTGGGCACAATTATGCCCAGGTGGGAGTGTTAAAATCTTGTAGAGACGACCAAGTATGGATTACTTCACAAAGTTCACGAATACCGACATTTACCTTGTTGATCAAGATTTAATCACTTCAGGCGATACCTTGATTTATGAACCGTCAAATTACTGAACCTCTTAATATCTGGAAGAATTTACTGCAAATGGGACTCCTCCCTTTTAAAACCCTCAATTTCCAAGCTATGAATGTTTTTCTGGAGGACGAACGGCGTGAAAACATGGTGTGCATTCTACCACGAAAATTCAAACCACTAACAAGAACAGATCTGTTCTTGTTGGTTGGGGTTGGTTTGGCTTTTACAGACCTGCCTTGGGTATGCAGTGCTAAAGCATAAACAATTTTATTGTAAATAGTATGAATGTTTCAGTGGGGCTGGGGGGTGGACGTACGTCATGGAGATGTTGCCAGAATCAGTGTTATAGACCCCTTCCAAAGACCGCCCACTGTTGACAGCTGTGGAATCTCTGTACATCGGTGGACTAAATCCGCAATGCCATGCCACACTTTAAGTGTTTGGTTGGATTGAAAGACAAAAACACACCCACAGAAGAAGGTGATAAGCACAGTGACGTTGCACTTCTGATGCTGTTTGATTGGCTCATCAGCTCCTAGCATTGACAGTGCCCAGCATTCGCTATCTCATGGATTTACTTGCACACTCCACGATGTCAGTTCCAGTTGTCAGTTCTGCCATTGTGCAGTGGTTCCCACCTTCTGATAATTGGCACATGACTTTCGAAAAGGGTCTGTTGGTCCGTCAGAAGAATCTATGGGCCTAATTATTTTAACTCTATTTGTACCATCTCATCATAAGCTAGAGTTTAGCAGTCAACATGCTGCCCAACTTTTAATGTGTTTGAAGGGAGCATCATAATCATGCATTGACAGAGCAAAAATTGAGTGGTCTTCAAATGGGGAAAACATTTTGTACTAACATTGGTATTCCTTGCTTCCGAGGAGACTTGAAAAACCCTTGAAAAGAAAAAAAACTTTTTTTTTTAACAGTCTGGTTGGGACACGCGTGTGTCCCAACCAGACTGTTTTCTCAGAATTAATTTTGAGAAATCTGTCGTTATGGTATTTACTAATAGAAGCAACTGCCTGTTTTTAAGTATGGTACTGGTAATATAATTCTGCATCAAGTCCATTAATACAAGTATTGGGGGTATTTAAATTCACGCCTAGTCTCAAATGCGATAAGCACATTAGTTCTATCTGTTCTCATGCTCTGCAAAGGCTAGGATATGTCAAAAGAACCTTAAAATCCTCAACTAAGGAAGTTAAAATAACGGCAAAAAAGACCTTGTTTAGACTTATCTTAGAGTATGGTTGTGTGGTGTGGGATCCGTATCTGAAGGGTGATGTTAAGCAGATTGATGCAATACAAGCAAAGACAGCTAGATCTTTTTGTAATAGATATGGCCGCAATTTTCTCCTACATCTTTCATGACTGACATAGGACTTGTGCCTCTTGATTCCAGACGCGCTGTAGAACGACTTAAGTGCCTAGACAAAATAGTGAATAATAACTGTGCACTTAATCGGGAAAAATGTGTTGGTTTTGTTACTCAATCACGCACTCCAAGCTTCTATCCTTTAAATCTTGTACCGTACAGAGCCCACCTTAACTGTTTTAAACATTCATTTTTTCCTCAAACAATAGAAAACGGGAATGACAAAAATGGGGTCAGTTTGTTATCTCAATTTCGATAGATTTGTGTTTGAAATACAGTGGGTGTTCTGGTATGGTACCTGTCAGTCTACTAATGAAGTGTATGTGATTGTTTCTGTACTTTTTTTCAACTATATATTGCATTTTTCGTGGCTTTGTAAGTTTTGTTCCGTAGGGTGTGTACATCTTTAATTGTCTGCCTTTTTGAATGTGTAAGTATGTTTTCTTTCTACTCCTGCGATGACCTCATCCAGGACACAGTGTTTTAAAATATATAAATTAAAAAAAAAAAAAACATTTACGCGAAAAATTTTTTTTGTAGAGCAATATTGGTGGTGCGATTTATTTGAAATTTTGCACGCAACGTTCATGGCGTCACGGTATGGTTATTCGCTCAACGAGATGGCAATTCGCTCTTTCCACCTCAACTTGAAGGCGAATCCGATCCAGAGAGAAAACAAGTAGAAAGGAGGTGACTACTGACTAAGTCGCACTTTACCCTGTCAATATTGACTTAAAAACAGTCTCTGTGTGTGTGTGTGTGTGTGTGTGTGTGTGTGTGTGTGTGTGTGTGTGTGTGTGCGCGCGTGCGTGCGTGCGTGCATGTGTGTGTGTGGGGGGGTGCGTGGGTGTGTGTGGGTGGGTGCGTGCGCGTGTGTGTGTGTGTCAAACTTTATTATCAATATGACGCCCTGGCCGGTGCTAAGAAGGGTACATTTTTTTTGATGCACTTGCCCTAACCCCTGTTAAAAAAAAAATTTTTCTTTTCAGGATTTTTCTAATGTACCGCCCAATTTTTTTTTTTCTTTTCTATGAAGACACATTTTTTTCACAGAATAGATTATGCATAAACCTTCTGTAACCAGCATAACCAAAATGTCTGCCGTAAATCAAACAAAGTTTTTCAGTCAAAATGTTTGGTCTAAATGTCACTTCCTCCTCTCCCTTTACAAGCTCCAATTGCTCTCAAAGCAGATACTTCCTCCCATGGCATGCTATGGCACTCCGTTGTTTCCGGGTCTACATAAAATTCCCACAATACGCAATACACCTGGAGGTAGGGTGACCACTCGTCCCGCGACTCGCGGGACTGTCCCGCATTGAGGGCTCGTGTCTCATGTCCCGCGAGAAATTCCGAAATCTTCAAAATGTCCCGCATTTCACATTGTCGTAAAATTCACTCTGCAACTCATCGTGCTGCCCATCAACGGGGCACGGGGAAGCGCGGAGGTCACTGGTAATCATGTGAATCGCAATGGTATGCCATTTTCTATCCAAGCATTGCGGGAAGCGACCGTGGTTCTTGCAGGAGATTCGTTGTGCCTCTCCCTTTTGGTGGCAAAACATCGTGTAAGAAAAATTGCTTGCCAAAAGTTTAAATATAAAATGTAATAATCATTTTCAAATTGCTAGGTCAATCCGAAAGGGCTGCTGTAGATTTTGTTCTAGTAAAAACAGCCACACTCGCAACGATCGAAAAAGAAAATAATGTAAAAAAATTGTGTAGGACCATGTTGGTAAATGTAAGCGTTGACAAGAAACAATGTCCCGAAAAAGATTTACTGTTTCTTATTTCCATTGGATGCATTGAGTTATGATACAGTATATTTTTATGTCTTCAACTTGACAGATTTATAGCATGTTTGGCATTTTAAAAAATAACACTGGGTGTGGAAATTATTTGAGCTTCATTGCTGCAATACACTTAGCAGATGTGTAAGCAGCACATGCATGACACAACTAGTACAGGGAAAGCGTGGTCCCGATAGCAGAATAGTCAACACCCCTCGCTATCAGCCAGAAATATTTTTCCCAGCTAGTTTTTGCCACATTTGTTTTCTGCAAATTATAATTGGGGTTCGTAGTATGCCGAACCAATTTTCGGAAATTCGGTTTTAACCGAAAAGGTCAGTTCGTAGGTTCGGTGTGTTCGGTATAAACCGATAAAAGTATGTCTAATCCTTTTCTAAAATTCAGTCTGAACCGAAAAAGGTAAGTTTTTTAGGGCCACGTCGAGGTGGATGAGGAAAGGGGGGGGGGGGGGGGGGGTGCAGTGACAGAGAGAAAGGGCTTTGCAAGGTTCGACATTGTGCGACGTCGTCGTGAGTGCCCTCTTCCAAGCTTCAACATGCAACAAAAGAGGTCTTGGATTTGCCTTCATGGGACATCTGTGTCCTTTCTGTGATCGGGCTTAGTGTGTCAAGTTCCCTGTCCTAAAAAAGAAGTTTGGATGTGGGCTAGTATAAGGTTTTTCGTTTCATGCAGGTTTTTCGTTTCATGCACTTTAGAGCACATCGAGAAAAATCGTTAATACCTTTCTTAACACCATCTCTCAAACTTCCCTCTGGTTAAGAACATAAATACACTGGATTTTTTTTTTTGCCATTCCGTTGTTAGCTGTACGGTCATCACCTCAGACTATAGTTCCTGTATAGGCTCCGTACGCGAGCCAGAGTTGCGCATCTGTTTTCCACGTGCCGCCGCACCGCTATTCGCCAAGATCCGACCACGTGAGGATCTGGATCAAATGCCGTGCAGGAAAGTAGACGTTGCACGCGCCCTGACAGTACGTTTCCCTGCTTTTGAGCGCACCGCGCGCCTCGAACGCGCGGCGCCGCTATTCGCCGAGTTCAGTCACGTGAGGAGCAGGATCAACATGCCATGCAGGAAAGACGGCGCTACAGGGATGAATGCGCAACTCTGGCTCCCATAGGGAGCCTATACAGGAACTCTACCTCAGACGGTCACGTCGTTAGAATGGTAAGGAAAAAGAAGCGTGCTAAAGATTATGCCCGCGAATTCTGCGATTTTGAGGTGTGTCCTGACGGAAGTTGTAGCGAAGACAATGTATGTATATGTGCCGTTATTCTTCGAGTAATCGCATATATCACAGCTACAAGGATCACCTGATCCGGTGTCTGATGGTGTTTCTTTCATGTTCACCGAAAGAAAAATGGTAAACTTTTTTGGAAATAAATATACACCGAAAAGAAAAAAGAAAATTGAATTTTAAAATAAACACCGAAAAAAGTATGCCGAATTTTGAAGAAATAAAAACCGAAAATGCTGAACCCTAGTTATAATTTTCTAGCAAATGAGTCAGAAAATTATACAAATTGCACGGTAAATTTGTGTACAATATCGGATTTTAAGAAAATGTTTCATTTTCTGCCTGGCACCTTTTGGCAGTGACTGTAAGCACACAGCGTTAACGGCGCAAGTTTTGGTTGCACCGCACAATTGTGACATAGCTTAGTGTTGGTGGGGTAAAAATGTTGTTTTGTCTTGGGGCACACGAGATCTTCTTGCCAATGTGAGCTCATGCGAGGTGAGACAAGCCGGGGAGCCAGAATCTGTGTCTCAAGTATTTCCCGCATGCTGCAGGGGCCCCAGCAGCCGTGTCGTCCCGCACCCCGGGAAAGCGAAGGGAGGCCCAGCAGCAGCTGCAGCGTAAACTGCAGGAGAAGAAGCGCCTGGGTGACCAGAAGCGTCGGGCAGAGCAGCGGCCCCCGCACGCCACCCCGCCGGCTGGGGGCTGCCCAGACGGCCGCCGCAGAACCCCGCAGCAGCGGCGGGACGGGTCCTGCCTGGGCACCCCGGACCCCGGCCCGCCCCCGGACCCTGGCCGGAGGGTCAAGGAGGAGCCCCTCGAGGCCAAGCTGCAGAACAGCAACATCATCTTCGTGCCCACGGTGCAGAGCCTCCAGCTGGGCTCCCAGGAGGCAGCCCAGTCCGGAGGGCTCGCCTCGGGCTGCAAGTACAAGAAGATCCAGCCCAAGCCAGCCTGCCGCGGCGCGGCGGTGGTGGTCCATTTTGGCAGGGAAGCAGGACTCACCGAGGTCACGACCCCATCGCCTTCGCCTGTGGTGCTGTGTGCGGAGGCCGGTGGGGAGGCGGCCTCCAAGCACGTCACCAATGGGGCTGACTGGGAGCCAAAGTCCCTGGACGCCTCGGTGGGCACCATGAAGAGGCACTCAGAGGAAGGGGAGGCACTGCTGCGCAAGAGGAGGCACACGGACGGCGGAGGGAAGCCCAACGGACCTGCTGCGGGCTTGGAGAACGCTCCCGAAAAGGTGAAAGAAGAGATGTGCGTGGTGCACCTCGAGAAAGAGGCCCTGAACGACTACTACGGCAACACCTCCAACGATTACGCGCTCATGGAGAAGCTGTGCAGGGAGGAGTTTGCGTCTGGCGGAACCAACCTCGAGGTGTCCGGTCTCACAACGGGGGACCTCGGCAAGATGCAGTGCGCAGAGAGCAAGACAGCGCAGCTCTCTCAACTCCGCATGCTCTTGGAAAGAAACCTGCCCAACTCGTACCAGCGCAAGGACTCCAAGGACTCCGCCAAGCAGAACGCCGTGACGGAAAGCGAATGGGAGGCGGCGACACTCCTCGGCCAGCTCGTGTCCAAGCAGGCATCCCTGCCACAAAGCAATAACCTGCGCACGGGCACTGTCCACTGGAAGACCACCGGCACGTGGGCCACCCTGGCGGCCAAAAGCCTGCTGCAGAAGGACGACCCCTGCCTTGGCCTGGTGGAGGGGCGGACCGGGGGCTTGGACTTTGCGCGCTCCGAGTCGGGCCTGCAGGTCTCCCTCGATCGGGGCCCGTGTATGCCAGGCCAGATTTCGCTGCCGCCGGTGCCATGCAGCCCCAGCAGCGCCAGGAAACACTTCTTCACTCCCATTTCGCCGCAGACGACCCCGCTCCCCGAGGGGGGTCCGCTGCCGGCACTCTCCTCGCCCTTATTGGCCCCCACGGCGGACATGGTGTCAGTGGCCGTAGGCACCTCCTCGCAGCCGCCGAGTGCCACCTCCAGCCCCTTCGTGTCTCCCCGGGGCACGCCCGTGCCCTGGACTCGGTCGCGGCATGGCTCGGGCCAGAGCGCCTATAGCAGCACTGCCCGGCAGACCCCGTTCCAGGCACTGGACTCCGGGGTGTCATCGGTCTCGAGCTCACCCTTCGTGTCCCCGCAGAGCACACCCGTGACAACAGTGCGCGGCCGCCACTGCACGGGCTACAACCCGAGTAAGGCCCTGGCCAACGGCTATGGCCCAGCAGGGCGTGCCCGCCACAGCTCGGGCCCGGGGGGTCCGGTGTCTTCTCACCTGGCGTGCCCCCGAAGCGCCCCACTCTCGCCCCTTGTAGGGGAGTCGTCCACCCAGACTTGCGGCTTCATCTTCCCCTCGCTGGGGGAGACGCCCACGGGGCTGCGCTCGCGCCACAACTCTGCCTCGAGCGTGGCCCCGCCGTCCCCGCAGTCGGCCCCTCCCTCGCCCCTGGTGGCCTGCCCCCCACAGCCATCACTCGACGAGGGGCCCGCCTTGGGAGACTGCAGTCTGGGTGCCCTGGCCAGCGACACCGACTCGGGCCTGGGGCCATCTGCTGGCCCCGAGTGGATGTCCCTGGTCGCACCCAGGGAGGGCTTCGGCGGCCCCCCGGCAGCCGGCCTCTGGCCCCATGGCCGCCAGCGGCACGCCTCGGGGCCCGTGCTCAACCAGCGCGTCTCCTTCGCGGGCACTGACCCCTTCTCGCGCGAGATACAAGAGCTGCTCAAGGACAACACCATGATCGGCGGTGGCACAGCGGCCGGTTACCGGAGCCGCTCGGTGCCGGTGCACCGGATGCTCGTGACGGCCGAGGAGCTGGAGGCCCTCGGGAACCCCGCCGCAGAGGACGCCGTCTCCAAGTCCTACCCGGCCACCCCTAGCGCAGCCCAGTGTTTCAGCTTCCCCGCTGTGGGCGCCTCCCAGCAGCCCGCCTGCGACGGCCTCGGGGACGCCTACGCGGGGGCCGCCTCGGGAGATGCCCTAACCCAGCAGGACGACGTCTTCCTGGCGGTGGCGTCCGCCGCCGACTGGAACAGCGGCCTGGAGAACGAGGCGGCCATGAAGTTCGGGGAGGGCGATGACTTCGATGCAGAGCTGCAATCGACCCTAGAAGACCTCAAGGACTGCGACGAGTTCTCGAAGTTTGCTAAGGAGTTGGATTTCACGCCGGATAACGAGGACGACGAGATGGCCTGAAGCGGTCGGCGGGACTCTTTGGCGCGGAGGCACAGCGGCCGAAGGGGCTTGGGCCCCAGAGGCGCTTGCGACGGAGGAAGATTTCCTGCCGGCTGCGGCAGGGGCTCGGGGAGTTTGTGGTCCCCCTCTCGTTTGTTGCTCCCGTACACATGTCGTCTCTAGAGTTGTATCGCAATTGGAAAGCCGAGTAAGCAGAAGCGAATGTTTTTAGAGTGCCGCTGTTGAGTAGGTGGATAACGTCACCTGTTTGTAATTATGAGTGTACCGTCTTCTCTTCACGGGCGCACAGAGTTTTAAAGCTATTTTAAGGGCCATTTTAACGTGCAGTAGCGTTTGGCTTGTTTACTAAACTGTGGCTTCTAGTAGTAAGTTTTTCCTCAAAGTTTTGCCTTTATTGGAGCTCTCACTTTGAGATTCTCTCATTCACTACATATTTACAAACTTGTCGGTGTTTTAAGATGTCACGAAGACCGTACAACTTTTTGTGGTAGGTGTGTAGCAAAAGGGTTAGATGGGCGAGTGTCTGGTATTGTGAGCAATGGCCGAAGAGAGTCGATAGTTCTGGCGGGCTAGGGAACAAAATCTTGCATTTGTGCGTTGGCAAGCTGTAGTTTTGCATTAATCCTGCATTGGCCAAACTACTTGTGTGGAGCTTTTGAAGGTTCATGTTTGTAAGCAGTGTTTCAAGGAATTTTTGCCCTGGTTTTTGTATTATTGGCCTTGACTGCGTTTCTTACCTTATGACACGCCTTACAAGTCCCTGCGCAAATATTACGAGACCGGTAATGGAAAAATTGAAGTCTTAGCAAGGGCTACTCCTGATTGACTCTACATGATGAAAAACTTTGATAATCCCTGAAGCAGGCAAACTGCTAGGACATTTAAAGCTGGACACATCAAGTGTATGTTGTCTTGTACTAATTTTAAGTGCTCTTTTAGTATAGACAAGTTCTTTATTCTCTTGTATATTTGACTTTTACAAAATTAATACCATGTGGCATTTGCTTTGTCTTTATGGTCTGATTTAACTATTATGTATGTTGTATCTAAACATGTTTAAGTTTTACCTGTAATTTTTTTAATATAAAATATAGATTGACATGTACAAAGATTGCCTTTTTGATGATGTAATATGTGATATTTGATTGCATGTAAAATGAGTGTTCCTTTTCCTTTGTTATCCTTGTCACATGAAATTATATGTGTACATGCACAAATACAAATTGGAAGAGACGAGGGAGGTGAAAAGATTTGATGCACTGGCAGGCACAGATAAAATCACCAATTGCAATTTTTTTTTTTTTTTTTTTTTAGTTGTGCATGTGGTGCGCATCTGTACGTCATCTCGTGAGTTCTGTGCTGTGTTGGGGGAGGCACAAATGTATGCAGATATAGGGGTTTTCATACGTGAGCGTTTGTGCAAACAAAGCATTTCACAGAGCCATGCACTTGCGCCTGTCCCTTGGAGCACATTGCGCGCAGCTAGGGAGATATATTTTAGCGAGCTAACCATGTTTCTCCCCTCAGCAGGAGGAGAGGTAAGGAAAAGGAAGCTGGCCAATAGTTTTTATTTTACGAGAGCTTCTCGTAAGTTGAGTTGGGCTGTGACATGTGCGAAGTGGAACAGGTGGGGCTGTAGAGAACATTTTGTGAATAACCTTGGCTCTTACCCTCTTCTGTTTTTGTGTGTACCCTGTTACAGCCCTTACGTTTTGCAATATGGAAAACAAAAATTAGAGGAGGACACTCAAGACTGCTTACGTGTCGGGAAGGCGAAAGCATTATAGTCCCGCGAGAGAAATGTTTTCAAGTAATGTTTCTACATGTATTATAGTTTAGGATGATGTATGGTACAACGTCCTAGAGATCGATGCCAAGTACGGCGTCTAGGACGACCTCTAGGACGAAGTCAAGGACGACGTCAAGAACAGTGTCGAGGATGCCCAGCGTTGCTCAGGAGCAACACCTCAAAAAGTATTTTTTAAATTGGCACTGTTCACACCGATTAGAGTTCCTGTATAGGCTCCCTACGGGAGCCTGAGTTGCGCGTTGATCCCCGTAGCGCCGTCTTTCCTGCACGGCATGTTGATCCTGCTTGTCACGTGACTGAATTCAGCGAATAGCGGCACCGCGTGTTCGAGGCGTGCGGCGCGCTCGAAAGCAGGGGAACGTACTGTGGGGGGCGTGCAATGTCTACTTTCCTGCACTTCATTTGATCCCGATCCTCACGTGATTGGATCTCGCCGAATAGCGGCGTGGTGGCACGTGAAAAACAGACGCGCAACTCTGGCTCCCGTAGGGAGCCTATACAGGAGCTCCAACTCCGCTGGGCACCTAGCGCCTTCTGTTGCCGAGGAGAAACAATGCAAGCCTCTACGGAAGAAAACTAGATGGCAGAAGTTACCACCTTTTCTTCACGAGCCACGTGTGTTTGGACCCGCACAGCAACGCGTGCACGTGTCTTATCAAGGTAAGCATAATTGTTCAAGCATACATGCGACGAGCACTCTAGCAAAAAAACTTTGAATGAATTTACTAGGTATGGTACTAGAGATTGTATGCATGACGTGAAGACAGGCAAAACGTTTATTATAATGCTTTGCTCGGCCGGTAAACTGAGATGTTGCCTAGGAGCAACATTGGGCAGATGTTGATGTTTTTCACTTTTTTCAGCAATATATTGCCAGTGTTATTGTAGCCCTTTCATGCCATATAGGCCGCAGAAAAACTGTTCACTGTATTTTTTCTTTATCCTGTAGATGGATGGATCAAGAAAAAGGCCCCTCAATGAAGAAGAAATTCACGAGGTCATCTTCCTGCCAGATGGTGACATATCGGATGTAGACCTCGACAGTAATCCAGATGATCCAGACTACGATCCAAGACAAGAACCGAGGTATGCTGACCTCGCTCCTCTTGAAGTCATGACCGATATCCATGATGAGCATCCACAAGAGGAAGCTGGCTTCCAGACAACGAACAGTCTTGCTGACTCTTTACTGCGTGCCAGCCGTTGCAATGAGGCTCGCAAGAAGTCAAAGAAACAAATATTTACAAGTGTGTGGAAAAAGATGGACCTGAATGCACAGGACACAGCATGAAGAGGCAAACTCCCCCCACCACCCAACAATGTGTACAGTTTATATGAATACTTTTGCACATTCCTCAATGACCAGATGGTAGACATTCTCTGCTACCAAATGAATCTTGACTCAACACGAAAGAATGGCACGTGTGCTAATGTGTCGCGTGAGGAAATGCGGAAATACTTGTCGATTCTTCTGATATCGGGAATAGTGAAGACACCACATTTTCGCATGTTTTGGCAGAATGGCACGCGGTTTGCGGCAGTTGCTGACCTGATGACCAGAAATCGCTTCGAGACAATCCACAGCTCTCTGCACATGAACGATAATCTCCAAGCGAAGCCTCGTAACACTGATGGCCACGATTGTCTCTTCAAGGTGCGGCCACTTGTTGATCAGTTAAGAAGGACTATGAAGATTGTGGCTCCAGAAGAGAAACAGAGCATTGACGAACAGATCATCCCCTTCAGAGGGGATGATCTGTTCCTACATGAAACAGTACTTGAAGTCTAAACCACACAAGTGGGGGCATAATGTATTTACAAGGGCTAGTTCCTCAGGGATTATACATGATTTCATCATCTACGAGGGGAAAGGAACAGCTGAGGATCACGGTTTCGGCATTTCTGGGCACATTGTGTGCGACTTGCTGAAAGATTTGCCGGCACACCAGAACTACAAAGTGTTCTTTAACGGTTGGTTCACCAGCCTGCGCTTGGTGGAGGATCTGAAGACTAAAGGGATTCTTGCGGTAGGGACAGTGAGAGCTGACAGAACAGAAAAATGTCCTCTTGCTTCGGACACAGTAGTGAAAGACCTGGGAAGAGGCTCTGCAGACTTTCTTATAGATGGAACAACTGGTACCGAAGTGATCAAATGATTGGACAACAGCTCTGCGCTTCTGTTTTCGAGTTATGCGGGTGTCCACCCAACTGATACTTGCAAGCGGTGGAACAACAAAGAGTGTCGAAGTTGCGCGTCCGTTTGCGGTGAAGGGGTGTAACTCTCATGGGTGGGGTAGATCTTTCAGACATGCTCACGTAGACCACAAATCCAAGAAATGGTACATCAAAGTATTTTTCTGGATTATTGACGTGCCGGTTGTGAACGCATGGCTGTTGTACAAACGACACTGTGAGCAGCTGGCCATCAAGAGGAAGCTGTCACTTCTGGTTTTCCGATCTCCGATCGCACAAGCCTTCGCACTCGTGCAGGCGAAGGCAGTGAAGTGGAGGTCAGTCTCATCAGATAAATGTGGTGCTGTTTTTTCTCCAGAGAAGATCACTCGTCCAGTGACACCAAAGCCCGTGACAGATGTAAGGTTCGACGGTGTGGACCACTGGCCTCAGTATGGCGAAACGAAGAACAGATGTAAATATTGCACACCTGGCTACACTTTTCCTTACTGTGAAAAGTGCAAGATGCACCTGTGTCTCCTTCCAAGCCGAAATTGCTTCAATGCCTTCCATGTAAAATAGATGACACATCTGCCCAATGTTGCTCAGGAGCAACACCTCATTGTGTGCTTAAAAATAAATGCTATTTTTTTCTGAGACCATATTTGTGAAATTTGATGTCTTTTGAAACCCCACAAATGTTTCTAGATGTGTGACTGAAAATATAAAGTTTCGTGCATCAAAGGGCTAAAAGCCCCCCGCCCCCCCCCCCCCCCCCCCCCCCCCAAAAAAAATAAATAAATAAAAATAAAAAAAAAATAATAATAATAAACTGGTTGGGACACGCGTGTCAAAAAATAAATTTTACGCGAAAAACAAAATGTTGGCGCAATATGGACGGCAAGATTTATTTGAAATTCTGCGCGCAGTCTATGACTTCATGGAATGGTCATTCGCTCTTTCGACCTCAACGAGATGGTCATTCACTCTCTCCACCTCAACGTCGAGGTGAAGCCAATGCACCTCTCCTCCACGCGCCTGATATGCCGAGAGAGAAAACAAGTGTAAAGGAGATGACTACAAACTAAATCGCTTCTAAAAAGAAAGAAAATTCGCATAAAATAAATTTTTTGACCCGTGTCCCAATTTGGTTATTTCAAAAAAAAAAAAAAATCCCCTCTTTTCGGGAGCTTTTTAAGGACGACGTCGAGAACGACGCCTAGAGGAGGACACTTGAGGGGGCTGTGGCGTATTTCCGTGGGCGGCTACGTTGGCCTGCAAAAGCCGCTGTAGAGGCGCACAACGAACACAAATGAAGCTCGAAATGCACCTTTTGCGCACGGCGCTCCGGCGGTGACGTCACGCTCCTGCACTTGAGTGTGAGCGTGAGTGGTGCTTGCTCGATGACATATTTTTATAACCATCTTTCGGGCATAATGACGC